AGTAAAGAATGATTGGCTTTCTCAAACAGTCAATATATCTCATAAACAAAGCTATTGCAGGAAGAACGAAGACTTTCAGCTTAGAAGAACAAGAGGAAGCAAACAACAAACTAGATCAAAACTGGATGACCAAAGGAAAATTTTGAGACTTCGTATCATCATGGCCAAAATAAGAATCTTTTTCTACGGAAAGATAGATTGAGGATTGCATTGAAAACTGCAATGGCCAATGAGAACATAAATTAGATAGAGCGTGCAGATATACACTTCACTGATATTTGAAAGCATTTGTAGAATGCCCTGATCTGATGTCTCACACTCTTAGTTCCAGTATGTGTGTCAATATTATACGAATGAGGATCGACAAGTTCATTGCAGTGGGATACTTTATTCTCTACTGAATGATGCAATTAGCATTCAATGACACATAATCAAATTACCAGTTTCACCCAGGATTAGGAACACTAAATAACATGCACCAGACAACAAACATCCAGTTTGGCAAATAACACCGAATCAGAAATTACCAGCTTCTTACTGAGTGTAAACTTTGTTGCACCATACACAATTATCACTCCTCACAGCCCGTTCTTGGTTCATGTAAATCTGAATCTAGCGGGCACTTCCCCTCCGCAAGCGGCAGCATAATCTTCAGCAAGGTGTGGTGCATGTTCCTTGTGAGGGCATATGAACTTCTTCACAAAATACTTCTCGGCCTCCTTGAAAACTGTATAGTAGCTCGGGTCGCGCTTGAGCAATCCATTTTCCTTGAGAAACTTTACAACATAGTTCCGAGGTCTCATCCGGCCCTCTAGGCTGTAACAGAGCATTGTTGGACGTTGAGCGAGGTAGGCCGGTTCCAACCCCACCTCAGAGATGAGGAATTCAGACCTGCACTGCAGCAATTCATTTGATTTTGTAAGCAAAAGCGGAGCCCTACACAAAGCGATGCTCACGTCGGCATCCGACCACCTGAACGTCTTCTTCAAGGAGTCCACTCTAGCAGCGATCATCTCCTCGCTGAAGAATGCAACAGATTGCAGCGCATACCTGAACATCCCAGATCCATGGGGCAGACCGACTGCTTCGGCGGACGCCACCACCGCCTGGACACGCTCTAGGTTGCTGCTGAGTAGCCGTGGCACAGTGCGGCACAACTTGGCAATATCACAAGCACCTAGCCCACTCTTTTGCAGGAGGGAGAGCGATGTTGGGCTTGACCACCCGCTCGAGGTCAGCCGAGACAAGGCAGGAGCCATGGCTGACCGCATGTAAGAGGTTCTTAAAGGACCCGAGGAGGGGCAGACGCGACAGTACTGCAAGTTGGAGACGATGGATCTATGCCGGAAGAGGCCGACCGAAACCGAGACGAGGCGCGAGACCTCAGAACATGATACGTCAAGGCCGGAGAGCCTTACATCCTCGCACGCCATGCTCACCTTGAATAACATGAAGTCATCAACTGCAGGCAAAAAGAAAATGTAGTAACCAGCCCTGGTTTAGGCATTAAAAAAAGAAAGAGACAAAATGCAGGCAGAGCTTACATGATGGAAATGGGTAACTGCCGCGTGATTGTCCATATGATCCGGCAGTAAACTGATTTGAAATATAACATCATGACTTGTTCTTTTAGACTAAGGATAAATTATCCGGGGGAAAGTTTTGTGCGAATTAGGAGTTGTAGAGTGGACGAAAATTCCAAATGAATAATTATGGCCAAGGAGAACATGCACACAATATAATGGTGATGCAAGTCCAACTATAATCGCAACAAAATAAAGCATGAAACAGAGGAAGCATCTCTTGTGATGGGTTAGAACCAAAAGGTGCACAAAGTTCCCATAGCGCTGACATAGTATCTTCAGCAAAGAAATAAGCAACTTGCGAGGATCACCTCTCTGGTACTGACTTGTGGAAGCTTCCCATTTATTTACATCCCTTGATTCAGCACTTCCATGAACAAGAGAGCTACAAACAGGTTGATGGCAGAAAACAATGATCCTTGAAGCAAATAAAGAGGAAAAAATAACGAAAGTGTTAACTGCAACATCAACCTGATATAACTCCAACTCCAACAGTCCAAGTTTACACTGTATGTGCGGATACATAGAGTTTAACTCGTGGGGCATAAAATGGACCCAGTGGCTCGAATTTTTAATTTTAGTCCAAATAGTCCTCCAGGTATATAATACATTTACATTATAATTAATATTTTGTAGAAAACAACATGACCTATCTTTCTGTGCTTGAAAACGCTTAAGTAATATAAGGCTTTCGAAAGCTATACCAAAACTCTGAAGTAACCATGAAACTGCCCAGTATTTTCAGAACAGAAAAAGCTATCAACAACAGAAATGCTATTACAGCATTATTCAATTTTGAGATCAGATGGCCCTTCGATAGGTATCAGCCAGTAGGCCATAAGTGGGGGGCGGGGGGACTAAGAAAACTGATACAAATTACTACTAAGAATGATTGGCTTTCTCGAACAGTCAATATATCTCATAAACAAAGCTATTGCAGGAAGAACGAAGACTTTCAGCTTAGAAGAACTAAAGGAAGCAACCAACAAACTAGATCAAAACTGGATGGCCAAAGGAAAATTTTGAAACTTCTTATCATCATGGCCAAAATAAGAATCTTTTTCTATGGAAAGATAGATTGAGGATTGCATTGAAAACTGAAATGGCCAATGAGAACATAAAGAAACAGCGTGCAGATATACACTTCACCGATATTTGAAAGTATTTGTAGAATGCCCTGATCTGATCCCTCACACTCTTAGTGCCAGTATGTGTGTCAATATATATTATACGAATGAGGATGGACAAGTTCATTGCAGTGCGATACTTTATTCTCTACTGAATGATGCAATTAGCATTCAATGACACATAATCAAATTACCAGTTTCACCCAGGATTAGGAACACTAAATAACATGCATCAGACAACAAACATCCAGTTTGGCAAATAACACCGAATCAGAAATTACCAGCTTCTTACTGAGTGTAAACTTTGTTGCACCATACACAATTATCACTTCTCACAGCCCGTTCTTGGTTCATGTAAATCTGAATCTAGCGGGCACTTCCCCTCCGCAAGCGGCAGCATAATCTTCAGCAAGGTGTGGTGCAGCTTCCTTGTGAGGGTATATGAACTTCCCCACGAAATACTTCTCGGTCTCCTTGAAAACAGTATAGTAGCTCGGGTCGCGCTCGAGCAATCCATTTTCCTTGAGAAACTTTACAACGTAGTACCGAGGTCTCATCCGGCCCTCTAGGCTGTAACAGAGAATTACCGGCCGCTGAGCAATGTACGCCGGTTCCAACCCCACTTCATAGATGAGGAATTCAGACCTGCACTGCAGCAATTCATTTGATTTTGTAAGCAAAAGCAGAGCCCTACACAAAGCGATGCTCACGTCGGCATCCGACCACCGGAACGTCTTCTTCAAGGAGTCCACTCTGGCAGCGATCGTCTCCTCGCTGAATAATGCAACAGATTGCAGCGCATACCTGAACATTCTGGATCCACGGGGTACACCCAACGAAAAAAATAGCATGCTATTTCGCCGTTATAGCGCGGTTATAGCATATTCGGAAGGGAGACGTTACGTTTCGGCAAAATCGGCCGCTACGGCGCTAAACGCGTAATTAGCGTGCTACACACGCTATAACGTTGTAGCGTTTAACGTTTTAACGTGCAGACCATGCAAAACTAAAATAAGCACAGCCCAGCAGGCCCAGCAGGCCGAAACCAACCCACGACCACTACCTTTCTCACTCTTTTATCAGATTCTCCCACGACAATGACCTAACCGGCTAACCCTAGTTCTCACTTCTCATCCCCTTCCCAGTTCCCAGACCAGATGAGCGGCGGCGGCGGCGACGGCAACATCTGGGCGTGAGCGGAGGCAGCGGCAACATCTTCACGTGAGCAGCGGCGACAACATCATCTCGCGGCGGCAGTGTCCTCCATCGCGACTCCATCCTAGGCTCCTAGCACCGACGAGCGATGTCAACCGCACCGTCGGCAAGTCAACCACCAGGTAATCAAGCATCCACACCGTTGCATACCCACTTTCCCCTGTGCCATCTCCATGCCCTCCACATCTCCCGCTGTGCCGCCGGCAAGAGCACCACCAGATGAACGCCGGCAAGAGCACCAACAAGGGAAGTAGGATTCAGAAGGAGATCCCTGTATATTCATAGAAAGATGTTGATTTCCTCAATATGGTTTACTGTTTTGACTAATTAACTGTGTATATTTGTGTGTATCTGAGTTATCTGGCCATGTAGTACTGAACTGAACTGTAGTAAGAAGAGTAACTTGTGTTAATGCTTGGATGGGCCGATTTTGCTGGTGTTTACTCTATACTAATTCTGAATATTTACTCTCTACTAAATAGATATTAGTATTTAGTAGAATTTTGTTGGTGTTACAATTCTCAATATTTACCAATATATGAATTCTGAATATTTACTCTGTACTAAAGATATATGTACTGCACCGAAGATTGTAGGCATTGATATATACTTTGTCTGGTTGTAGGCATTGGTGCTTCAAGCACAGCATCAACGGTACAAGGACAAGCTGCCGTTGTGAATGTGAAATCAAAAGACTCAGGATGGAAAAATTGCATTTGTCCCGACGAAAACAAGAGGAATTCTTTGAAGTGCATTTTCTGTCATCATGTGTACACCAATGGTATTACTCGAATCAAGCTCCACCTTGCAAACATTCCAACTTCCGGTGTTGTTCCCTGTACAAAAGTGCCAGCTGATGTAAGGGATGAAATCACTGAGTTTTTGACAAAGAAGGGTGATAAAAAGGCAGCAAAAATTTCAGAGCAGAAGAGGATTAGATGTGAAGTGGACTTGAGCCACTAAGAGGGGGAAGGTTCAAGTGATGAAGATGGCAGAAGCAATTCTGTTGTTATGCTTAAGTCGGCGAGAGGCAAAACATCTAAATCCTCAGGTGGGCCTATGGAAAAATTCTGCCAACTATCTCCTGAAGAGGCTATTGCTGCAAGGAAGGCAAAATCTAGTGAGAGCATCCAATTAAAGCTGACAACTGGGGAGAGAGTGAAGAAAAGGAACCGTGCTTGTGAGTACATATGCCAGTTCTTCTATGAAGCATTGTGACATTAGATGGACAACCCAGTATCTTGCCATACTTTTCTTGCACTTCTTTCCTTGTTTTTTCATACTAAGAAATCCTTGCTCTAATCCCATCACCTACAGATTCACACAAAAAGACGCAATAGGCTACTTCATGACAAAATGAGAGACCTTGTGTTCATCAAGTTCAACTCCAAACTAAAGCAAAAGAGAGGGATGAAAAACAGGGACCCAATTGAGGACCACACATTTGTAGATGTTGTAGAAGATGAAGGTAATGAATGGATCACTGGTGTTGTGCCTGTTGAAGGAGTGCAAACAGGAGTTGAACCTGAAGATGTACAAGCTGTAGCATCAACATCAGAAGGAGAAGTTGCTCCATCAAAAAGAAAGTTAGTGTCTCAATCTCGTCCTAGGAAGAAGAAGAAGTTGCTTCCTATTTATCGTGATGATGAGTTGCAATCAGCCGAGTCTTCTTCTGAATCAGAAGATGATGACATGCATTTACCAGCGAGTGATTCTGAATAATTTCATTGTGTTATGTTGCAATGTTGTTGCCTTCGGTGGCTGTTGATGTAGACTATCTTAAAACTCTCTGTGTTCTGTGTTGTATTCTTGCTACCCCGGTGGCTGTTGATGTTAGAGACTCTTAAAACTATGGTTGTTGATGTTAGAGACTTATCTTAAAACTGTAGTTCTTGATGTTAAAGACTATGGTTGTTGTTGCCCAGGGTGGCTGTTGATGTTAGGGACTTTTGAAATTGTGATCGTTGATGTTAGAAACTCTTGAAACCGTTTGAGACTTACTATTTTTATGTGTTGGATTTGGCCCTTATGCATATATTGCTTGCTCCTATGAAAAATTTAGTTGCCTAAATACTTTATTTCTAGATATATTTGATTTTTTTTCAAACGCTATTTTGAAATATAGCACGCTATTAGCGTGCTATAACTTGTGTAGCATTTTGAAAAGGGCCTCGCTATCTTTTGTAGCGCACAATTTTTTTCATTGGGTACACCGAGTGCTTCGGCGGACGCCACCGCCGCCTGGACGCGCTCCGGGTTGCTGCCGAGTAGCCGTGGCACAATGCGCAACAGCTTGGCAATATCACAAGCACCTAGCCGAGTCTCTTGCAGGAGAGCGATGTTGGGCTTGACCACCTGCTGGAGGTCAGCCTTGAGAAGGCAGGAGCTGACCGCGTGTAAGAGGTTCTGGAAGGAGCCGAGGAGGGGCAGGCAGTACTGTACGTTGGAGACGATGGATCTCTTCCGGAAGACGCCGGCAGAAACCGAGACGAGGCGCGAGATTTCAGATCGTGTTAAGCCGAGGCCGGAGAGCCCCGTGACGACGGGCGCCAGGGTTCTCTCCACGCTGGCGCAGAGGAACTGCGGGTCCTTGGCGACGAGGGCGGCGACATCGCCGGTGAAGAGGCCGATCCCGGCGAGGAAGGCGAGGACGGCGTCGGGCTTGGCGGTGGACCTGAGGTGGGAGAGTTTTCCGGAGGCCTTGAGGGCTTGGGGTCGGGTGAGGCCGCAGGTGGAGACGAGGTAGTCCTCGACGGCGAACCCGGTGGTCGGGGTTGACATGGCTGGCGCTGCGGCGGAGAGGAGGCGGTGGAGAGGGGATACCGGAGAGGTGGCTGGAGACGAGAGGAGGTGGGCGAGGATGGAGCTGCGGAGGCGGAGCATGGCGGCGCGGCGGCCGGCCGCGAGGGGATGGGGAACGACTGGAACGACCGCCGCCGCTTGTTTGAGAGTGGTGAGGGTTTGCGTTGGTGTGCTGTCTGGTCCAGATGGCCCCACGTGCCAGTGTCTCTCATTACTGGGTTATATGTCAACGGGCTGGGCTGGGCTGGGCTTGCAGACGAATGTGTTTATTCCTTTGAATTTGAAAGGTTGTTCAAATAAAATCCGATTTGAAAGGCTACATACATCTCACTAGGTAACGTCTGGACTGTACGAAAACGAAAATGAAAAGAGATAGATTATGCAAAACTCGGTTTTGAGCACTCGACTCTGCGCCAATGTGCATGTGTCCAATTACCATAACACTAATCCAATGACATAATGGTGCAACACAACCACTCCTTTGCACGATCGTGATCTCATCTCCAACGTCCTTCCTCGGCTGTAGTCGGAGCCACAACGTTGCATCTCGACAGATTGGAGCTGCCGGACCTCTGTATCGTCGTGACAATGGAGCGGCTCGTGAAGGAGCTTATTAGGCGATACAGAGAGCGCTAGCTCCGCTCAAAGCAGCAGTGGTGGATTTAGGAGACAAGCCCAGAGATTTTGTATGTTCGAAGCATTGGTATATATACAATAATTGCTTTTACGATTAAGTTTTACGTTAAAATAACCTCCTTAGCTTCTTGGTAATAAATTCCTTAGAGAAATAAAAAAATAGTAAGTTTTTACAAACGCACTTGCAGACCTGTAAATGCGCTGAATCAACAGGGACAAACAACAACTCTGAATTTCTACTAGAAAGATGCGATCATTTTTTGCGGTGTTTTTACTCATCGACACTTGCTGACCTTTCATTTTTCCTGGTAACCCGGCGAGTGAACGATCTTCATACGCTCAAGGACCAGTCCTTTCATGGCCAGTATCAACATATAGCACGGTTTTGGTTTTTTTTTTG